CTGAGTCTAGTCTGCCTTTTTTTCTCCTCTTCTCCTCGCATATACTTTAAATCATCTCAGAATTACTTATAATGCCTAATACAATGTAAGTGCTATGTAAATAGTAGTTGTACTATATTTATTTATTTTTGTTTGTTTTTTGAGACAGAGTCTCACTCTGTTCCCCAGGCCATGGTGTCAGCCGAGGTCACAGCTACCTCAAGTTCCTGGGCTCAAATGATCCTCCTACCTCAGCCTCCTGAGTAGCTGGGTCTGCAGGTAGCCACCACAGTGCCTGACTAATATATCTATTTTTAGTAGAGATGGGAGTCTTGCTCAGGTTGGTCTTGAACTTCTGAGCTCAAGCAGTTCTTTGACCTTGGCCTCCCAGAATGCTAGGATTATAGACATGAGCCATCATGCCTGATCCTATTTGTGTTTTTTTATGTTTTTTAATATTTTCAATCTACAGTTAGTGGAATTCATGGGTATGGAACCCACAGGTAGGGCCAACTGCATTATTCATTTGTCAGACGTCTATCAAGCACTTAACTGTGTGCCAAGATTCTATTGAACAGTAGGGATACATGGTTCTTGTGTTCATGGAACTTACGTCTAATGGGGAGGGGAATCAATCAATTACTTTTTTTTTTTTTTAAGAGACACAGTCTAGGGGCGGCACCTGTGGCTCAAAGGAGTAGGGCACTAGCCCCATATGCCAGAGGTGGCAGGTTCAAACCCAGCCCCAGCCAAAAACTGCAAAAAAAAAAAGAGAGAGAGAGAGAGAGACAGAGTCTTGCTTTGTCACCCTTAGTAGAGTGCTGTGACATTACAGCTCACAGCAACCTCCAGCTCTTGGGCTCAGGTGATTCTTTTGCCTCAGCCTCCCGAGTTGCTGGGACTATAGGCACCCACCACAACGCCCAGCTATTTTCTCATTGCAGTTTGACCGGAGCAGGATTTGAACCCACCACCCTCGGTATATGGGGCCGGCACCCTGCTCACTGAGCCACAGGCACCGCCCCAATCAAATACTTTGTAATAAGAAACTATGAAAACTATGTGTAGGAGAGCTAAGTTGTGCCATATGAACAATTCTTAGGGAATATTTCAACTAATTAGGTCCACATGTGAGGACTGTGCTGAGATTTGAGAATGACAGGTACAGAAAAGTAAAGAATTCAAGGGAAAGGAACAGCATGTACAAAGAGCTTGTAAGTGGAATAAGCAAAGCATGTAGTTAGGCAAGAAACTAGAGTGTAGAATCATTTTAGGCAAATAGGGAGAATAGTTGGGGTCTGACCATGCAAAACTGTGGAGACCAAGTTAAGGAGTTTGAGAAGCCTTTAAATGTTTTTAAGAAAGAAAAGGACAGGATCAGATGAGTGTTTCTAAAAAGTAATTGCTGCTGAGTTGCGAGAACAAGAGTAGGTGCCGGGAGACCTACTGATTGTAGGAAATGATTAAATACCTTATAGGACATCTGTATTTTGCAATAAAATACAGCCTTTAAAAAGAGTGAAGTAGGTATGTGTGCACTGAATGGAATGGTGTACTTGATGCGTTTGTCTTTGGTGGAAAGTCTGTGGTACATTGAAAAAGAGTTATAATGTTTCTGTACACTGTAAGTTATCTAAATCAGTGATAGTAAATACCTTTGATGAGTGGAGAGGTCAACTTAGGGTAAAGGAGAAGTTTTATTTTTTATTCCTTTGTGTATTGTTTGAACTTTTTACAATTTATATATTGTTTTTATGATTAAAATGTATTTTAAAAATGTATTCCCCCAATGGAGTAGGGGAATAAAAGAGAGTATAAAATGTCACATTCTTAGAAATAAATGGTTCTGTGACCATGCAGAAAAAAATAAGAGCATTTGTGAGGGGAAATAAATAATAAAGTGAAAAGCAATCAAGAATTTTCTAAGCCCTTTCATTGCCCATTTTCTCCTGTTGTTGAACTGTAAGGTTCCATTTTAGTTATGAAAACAGATCATGTAATGAAGAGAACTTCTCTTTTTTTTTTTTTTAAAGGATTACTTTATTTATTTATTTATTTAATTTTTTGCAGTTTTTTTGATTAGGGCTGGGTTTGAACCCGCCACCCCCAGTATATGGGGCTGGTGCCCTACTCCTTGAGCCACAGGCGCCACCCGAGAACTTCTCTTAAGAAAAAGAGAAAAGCTGGTGCAATGGCTTATGCCTATAATGCTAGCACTCTGGGAGGTCAAGGTGGGTGGATCCTTTCAGCTCAGGGAGTTTGAGACCAGCCTGAGTAATAGTGAGACCCTCACTTCTAAAAGTAGTCAAGTGTTGTGGTAGGCACCTGTAGTCCCAGCTACTCAGGAGGCTAAAGCAAGAAAATTATTTGAGCCCAAGTTTGAGGTTGCTGTGAGCTGTGATGTCATGGGACTCTATAGAGGGTGACAAAGTGAGACTCTGTCTCAAAAAAAAAGGAGGTGGTGGTAGCTCCCATAGCTCAGCGGGTAGGGTGCTGGCCGCATACACCAAAGCTGGTGGGTTCAAATCCGGTCCAGGCCAGCTAAAACAACAATGACAACTGCAACCAAAAAATAGCCAGGCATTGTGGCGGGCACCTGTGGTCCCAGCTACTTGGGAGGCTGAGGCAGGAGACTCGCTTGAGCCCAGGAGTTGGAGGTTGTTGTGAGCTGTGATGTCACTGCACTCTACCCAGAGGAATAGCTTGAGGCTCTGTCTCAAAAAAAAAAAAGAAAGTAAAAAACCGAACTTGTCCACCTTAATAATTTGTCTCCCCTATTCATTATGTGTCTTGTCAGCCTCGTTGATTAATTGTGTATGTTTCTTTTTAGCTTTTTTGTGAAACAAATACTGAGTCCTTGATTTTTTACAGATGAACAAGTTGATTGAATATTACCAGCAGCTTGCTCAGAAAGAGAAAGTTGAGCGAGATCGCAAGAAACTGGCACGGCGTAGAAACTATATGCCTCTGGCTTTTTCGGTGAGGATTTGGTACAAAAAGGAGTTTGCAGGACCTGTGAGGCATAAGAACAGTAACCATTTCAGAAAGTGGCCCTTATTCTAGGTTCCTGCATGGTGTATGGCAGAGGGAGAGGTTCTTCAAATTGTAGATATTTATGTCCACCAGTAGTTATGCTTTTACCATATCATAATATTTGAGTTCTATGTATTTTAAGGACATTTATGTTTCTCTCTCCATCACTCCCCTTTCTCTTCTAATTATTTTCCCCAAAGTCTATTGTTTAATTTATAGGCACTGCAAAACTCTACTTATGGCTTTTACTTACTGCTGAAGAAGATGGACAAATGGTAGATTTAATTTATATTACCCAGTAGTTCCCCTTTAATATCCTGACAGTAGTGGTTTCCCAGCTCTAATTATTGGAATTTTTTTTTGACATCTTCCCATATTTCCCCAAGTTGAAAACACTGACTTTTACATAGTGCATTTGTGTGGTTAAATAAGTAGTAATATATGCTAATGGAATTTTTTATAGGAATTATTTATAGAAGTCATTCCCTACCAGTTCGTACACTACTAGGCAGAAACAAGAGGTTAGGATCTGGAGTCTTTGTTATTGTCCTCCAAGTTTTATTTGCTCTCACAGAACAATTTGTTGTCTGTGTGCTTGCTTAGGGCCTAGCAGATTGACATTTAATAAATAACATTTATTGAATGGCAGTGATGTGTAAACATCGTGTATTACATATTTTATTCAGTCCTCACAACAATCCTGTTGGGTAGTGTATCCCTATTTTACACTAGAGGAAGTGAAACTTGATTAAGTAACTTGTCATGCTGCATCCACATTAGAATTAGTTAAACCTTTGAAACCCTCATGATTGGTAAGATCCATATAAAAATACCTAGATGAGAATTTAATAAAACATTAACACTTGCAAAGCACCTACCATTGCCAAAGAAGAGACTTTTTCTCCGTAGTCCAGTGATAGAATCAACATATGCACTATTATATATTATATTTAAAAGGAATTTGAATTAAATGCATTATTCTTCTGACTTTCCCATATAACCTGCCTGCTGTATGAGTTTGCTTCTGTCTTATGCTGCATTTTTTTGTCTCTGTTGCAACCTGCTGCTAATTTGGGGCTCTACAGCAACACACTATTCATGTAGTGGTAAGTTCTCTTTTATGATTCTTGCTGACCCTGAAGAAGTTAGCAGATGATCACTGCTGCTCCAGAAGACATTCATCTTGTATCTTAGACACTCCACGTAGCCTGAGCCGTAGCGTAGTTACTTTTAGATAAGTAGTGAAAGCTCACATTTGGTTTGCTTTTAATGTAGTTTCATTGTCCATGTTTTGTGCTTTCATTATTTTAAGAATGGAGTAATGACACAGGGCTACAAATTACTCTCTTTAAAAGCTTTTAAATTAGCTTTTTTTTTTTTTTTTTTGCTTATTTCCCTGAGCTTCTCATGCTGTCCCCCCACAGTTCTTTCTTTTAATAAGTAGGATGGGTAAATACAGACTTTCTAATAGGAATTTCTGAACTTTGTTTAGGACAAATATGGTCTTGGAACCAGGCTTCAGCGACCACGAGCTGGTACATCTATCAGTACCCTTGCCGGACTTTCGTAAGTTTGGATATTAAATGACTTCGAGGAGCAAAGCAGGTGTCAAAATGAATATTGAAGGAATGTAATTAAAAGAAAAAATAGTTGTAAATGGGGAGGACAACTCCTAGAAAAGACTTAACTAAAAATATATTCAAGGATAGAGGAATACTTCACTTATTTCTATCATAGATTTTAAGGATAATAAGGTAGATCATTGAGAAATTACTTTTTATCTTTTAGCCTTAAAGAAGGTGAAGACCAGAAAGAGATAAAGATTGAGCCAGCTCAGGCTGTAGATGAAGTAGAACCTCTACCTGAAGACTATTATACAAGACCAGTAAACCTAACAGAGGGTAATTTCATATTATTTTTATATATTTTTTGTTCTGCTGTATTTTTATTCTACATGTATTCTGCTTTTGATTTAAATACCTTGTGATTTGAAATTTTTAATGGAATAGTTGTTAGTAGTAAAATATGTGGAAAATAAAATAGATTTAATCATTTGAAGAAATGTGAAATCTCTGTCAAATTTCTGTATTGTGGCTCAGCGCCTGTGGCTCAAGTGGCTAAGGCACCAGCCACATACACCTAAGGTGGTGGGTTCGAATCCAGCCCAGGCCTGCCAAACAACAATGATGGCTGCAACCAAAAAATGGCCAGGCGTTGTGGCGGGTGCCTGTAGTCCCAGCT